CTGCAGAGCAGGGGGGATATTTGGCATTTCTTCCTTTCTTTTAAACCTGACCCTGGGAGAGCCTGGGGTGGGACTGCCCTTCCCCGGGCTGGAGGGGCAGCTCTTCTCGGAAGAGCTCGCTGGCAGAAGCAGAAGTGGGTTTCCAGGCACTGAGGTTTCACGGGGAGGCAAAGAGAGACCAAGCAGTTCCCCCCGTGCTCTCCCTCCCTCCTCGGCCCCTGGCCCCGCACAGCCTCCCCCCACCTCGAACCCAGTGAGTCTCCAGTGCCCACCCCTGCACAGCTCCTGGCAGCCCTCCTCGGGGCAGGACCCCCGGGCTGCAGCTCCGCTCGCTATGGGAGAGGTTTTCTGGGGGCAGCAGGAAGCAGTTCGTGTGGCAGGGGGATGGGCAACGGGCTGGGGACTGGCAGGAGGCTTGTGCATGGGCTTGTGCTTGCCCAAAGGCTGGCACGGTCTTTGTCCCTGCAGGATGCTGGGCTCTGCAGGGCCCCGCGGAGGTGAGCGGCTTCCCGGGGGGCTCCGTGGAGGTACCCTGCGAGTACGAGCCAGAGCTGGTGGATGCCAATAAGTATTGGTGCAGGGGCAGCAGCTGGTTTTCCTGCTCCGTCCTTGTTCAGACCACGGCCCCTGGGGACGAGGCACAGGGGGACAGGGTCTCCCTGCAAGATGACCCCACTCGGCACGTGTTCATGGTGACCATGGAGAACCTGACAGTGGAGGACGGGGATCAGTACCGGTGTGGGATCCAGGTAGCCTGGTATGATCCCATGTTCCCTGTCATGGTGTCTGTTCTCCCAGGTAAGCACCTGGCATGGCTGTTGTGCTTTGATGGAGGCTGGAGGGGCAGAGGGAATGGAGAGAGGGGAGCTTGGGAGGGAGGACGGGGAGAGCCAGGGATGAAGGAAATCCCCCTCCCAGCTGCCTTCAGTGATCCCCCAGCATCCCCCACCTTGGTCCCGTGATGCACACAGCCCCCCTGGGGCCATGCGTGGTGTTTCCCAGCCACCCCCCATCACCTCCCCGCCAGCAGCCTCTGGGGTCCCGAAGCCCCCAGTCACCAACCTCAGCCACAGCCCAGGACCAGGTAACACACACCACAGTGCTTTGCTTCCCATCTATTTCCACCACAGTGCCCAAGACAACACACTATGACCTCCACACGACACAGGGGGAAGAGCCCACATCTGCTCCGACCTTCCCATGGACTCCCCTGGAGCTGGAAAACACCGTGTCCACACCGAAAATCAGAAGCCTGCAGGCTGGGTGAGTGCCAGGGCCACTGGGGAGGAGAGGGACTGTCCCCAGCGCAAGGACCAGGCAGCCCGAGGACGCAGCATCCAGCTCCAGCCTGCCCACAGGGCTTTGGGGCTAGTGGGGCATCTCTGGAGAAAGCAAAATGTGATGCTAAGGGGGCTGCTGTACCCCTGCATGCCACAGGGCTGCACTGGTTGGGGCTCCCAGAGTCTTTGCCCAGCTCCCGCAGGGCTGCGGGGGACCCCGACACCCCAGGCAGGCGTGTGCTGTGTCTGGGGACTTGTCCATGGAGGTGGGGGATGAATCTGTGCAACTCGCTCATGCCAAGTTGGCCAGACATTGCATGTACCCGTGCATGGATCCCTGGCCAGGAAACCTGGGAGAAATCCTTGGAACATCCTTGCCAGCCCGCAGAGTTTCATACCCGCCAGGGTTGTGCTAAATACAGGCACGAAAGCCCTCCCCAGGGCACAGGGCTGCAGAGGGGGCAGCACAGAAAGGCAGTAACACCCTTTTCTCCCCTTCTAGCACCCCAAACCTGCTTGTCCTGGTCCTGACACCCTCTGCTGCGCTGGTTTTGGGCGTCATCATCTGCCACAGGATGAGAAGAGCATCGTTGGAGAAGAGCAGAGGTACAAGTGATCTGGGGCCCCAAGCTGTGGCCCTCCTCTGCGGGGTGGCTCCCTAGCACCCGTCCCCCCACCCCAGCACACCACACGCCACCCTCCCGCTCCCGCCCCAGAGCGTGAACAGGGCTCGGGGCGAAAGGGGCTGGAGCCCTCCTCAGGACCCCAACCCACTGAGCCCCACAGTCCAGAGGGCTCTTGGCAAAGTCAGGCCAGACCTGAGGCTGCACAGGAGCCGATGTGACACCCATGGGGAAGGGCTTGGGACCCCCCAAAATGCTCCCCTTCAGCGAAGGGAGCTCCATGTTGGTCTGACCCATTTCTCCTGCACTTCCTCCAGCAGCCTGGGCCATGGAGAGGAAGAGGGCCAAGGACCTCCAGGTACCGCGGGTGGGAGGGTGGTGGGACGGGGGTCTTGTGGGATGGGGCTCCACCATGGGGGAGCCACTGCCCGGAGCCCAACTTGTCCTCAACTCACCTCGTCCCCTCCAGGTCACTGCAAGCTGGGAGCGAGCAGCCACTTCCAATAACATCTACATGAACAGGGAGTGGGAGATCAGCTCGCCCGAGGATGACTATGAGAACAGCCCGGCCAAGTGGCAGGTAAAGGGGCTGGGGCAGCTCCCGGGGCACACAGCAAGTTAGCCCACGGGTGCTCCTTGCTCCCACCCCTGCAGCAACAAGGAGCTGCACCTTGCTTTGGGGTGCAGCGAGGAGGAGCTGCCCAGCTTTGGGGTGCAGTGAGGAGGAGCTGCCCCGCTTTGGGATGCAGCAAGGAGGAGTTGCCCCACTTTGGGGTCACACACCTTCCCCCACACAAGCCTTTTCCTTCCATTTAACAGCCTGTCCCAAGCAGCAGCTCACAAACCCCATAGGAACAGGCATTATGTAGACACAAGCTTTTAGTGCTCTAGCATAGGCGGACCTGCAAAGTGCCCCAAACCTTCACATTTCTCCCCCATTTCAGGACTTTGAAAAGGGAGATGAAGTTTCAGTTTCCAGAGCTCCAGAACTGCAGCCGATCTACATGAACATGCACTGAGCGGCTCCGCGCTCGGCGCCCCGCTGCCAGAAAGCCCCGTGTCTGGGAACGGGCATCCCCTGCATCTCTCCCACCACCCAGGGCGTGTTTCCCCACTGCTTCCCGAGCCCTCTCTGCCTGTCCCGTTGAGATTCCCTGTATCCTGCAGAAGCAACCCCTGTCCCCTCTGTACCACACAAGACTGGAGACCCCAGCATGCCACGGAGTCCCGCAGTGGGATGTGCACGCCACCAGGCCAGCAGCATTGTTTATCCCCACCCTGCCATGAGGTTATTAAATGAGATGAGATCAGAAGATTTGGGATGTGTTTAAAATATCCCCCAATCAGGGGTTAAAAGCCCAGCACCCCCAGTCCAGGCTGCGGGGAACCAGGGGATGCGACGCCTTGGCAGCCCCTTCTCATCCTTCACGGTTCTTGTGCTCAGCAATAAGGAGCACGTGGGGAGGAAGGGGAGGTCGGCGTCCAGTTAGAGATGTGACCTCTGTCCCCTCCCCGGCCCCAGTGACTCCGAGGTGCCCCAGGAAGGCGGACGTGCTGCGGACGGTGTGGTCACCCCCGTTCCCACACAGCCCTCAGACTTCTGCTTCTTTATTTTCACCTGGTGCCTCATTCCCTTCCCTCCGGGTCTTTGCACAGAGCGAAGGGGCTGAAGGGCAGGGTGGGGCGGAGGGAGGGTCCTGAGGGAGCCTGGCTGCAGGGGGTCCCATCCTGCTCCTCCCAGCCCAGCCTCCTGTGCAGATGTCAGGATTTCAGCTGCATATCCCAGGCAGGGGAGCTGCGGAAGGAAAAGCCCCTGTTTGGGTAGGTCTCATCATCTACGGAAATAGAATCATCCTGTTGCGAAATGGAAACCTACACAGCAGTTTTAGAAAGAGGAAGAAAAACCACGAAGATGGAAAGAAAAAAAAGTGGAGGGATGCTGCACAAAGGGCCTGAGGACAGCCCTGTGGCAGGAGCCTGGGCAGTGGGCGGCCAAGCTGGAGCTCAGGCCGGGGAAAAGCTCGGCTCCATCCCTGCCCCGCCACAGGCCAGGGGAGCTCCTCTGGGTGCTGCTTGCTCCCGAGGGCAACCCGAGCTTCATCATCTGCAAGAAGCTCCAGTGCCAAATGGGGAGCGGGAGCGGGGGGGACCCGCTGCCTGGACCAGCTCCAGTGATGCAGCCATGCTCCCAGTTTTCCCCTGAGCCCCAGCATGGTCATACCTGGGATAAAAAAGCCAGAGGAGGAGGAGGAGGAAGAAGCCCCACATCATACCAACCACTCTGTCCCAGCAAGCACCACTGGGAAAGCCAACCTCCAGCCACCCAGCCTCAGCCCTCGGTGCTGTACGGCAGCTCCGGGAGATGTCTGGGTCACTCCCGCTCCCCCCTCTCCATATGTTTCACGTCTCCCACTTCCCCCCAGACCAGCTCGGTGCTGCAGACCCCAGCAGAGCCCGGGGCTGGGGCCAGGCACCTGCACCCCTAAGAGCTGGCAGGGCCTGGCATGTCCCTCTCAGCCGAAACACAGCCGAGGAGCTGAGCTGACACCCTCTGAACGTCCGGGAGGCTGCGCCCATCCCAGCATCACTCCTTAGCCCAGCCAAGGGGGAGCACCAGGACATGCAGCCTCCAGCATCCCCAGGAACGCAAGGTGGCCTCTGCAAAGATCAAGCAAAGATTAAAGCTCCCGTGCTGGTTTTGCCCCATTTTGGCGTTGGAAGCTCTGTGCAGCTCATGTGCTTCAGCATCTGTCTGCAACAGCAGTTTGGGGTGAAGACGCCTCCCCTCCTACACCCTCCTGCCAAGTGGGGTGCATAGGGTCCCACATCCCATTTCTGCAGCTGCCCACCCTCCCTGGTGTGCTTCAGACGTGCCAGTCTGCAAAAAGCGTCTCAGCAGCTTTTCACCCGCAGCAGAAAACCCCAACCCCGAGGCGAAGCCCGGACATTTAAAAATAACCTGGCGGCAGCAGAGCAGCCACCTCTTGCACGAGCAGAAAAGCAACGAAAGAAGCCGAGAGCGCACATCAGCTCAGTGTCCCCCGGCTGTCCTGTGCAGGAGGCTGATGCTTGCAGATCTCCGGAGCAAAGCGGGATGATGGGGATATCGCCGGGCTGGGGCTGGCTCCTTCTCCCAGGTGAGGACAGGCTCTGACCATGTTGGTGATGCTCTGGCTCCCGCTGGCATCAAGGGGCGGGGGCTGCTGAGCCCTCCCAGGGCCACAGGCTCCACGTCAGGCACCGACGGAGCCAAAGCCTCCCATCACTGCGGCCTCCTGTCTGGGACTAAAAGCCAGCAGATGGGGTCTCCCCCAAAGTGCTTCTTTCCAAAGGGAGCTGAGAAAGAGGGGCCTGGGAGAAGGCTGACTTTGCAGCCCTGTTTCTCTCCAGTGTCGCTGTGGGTTTCTTTGCAGTTTGCCAGGCTCTGGTTGTCCCCAGGGAGGTCAGCAGCCGGGCAGGGGAGACGCTCTCCCTCCGCTGCTGGTACCCCCGGGGTTATGAGGCCTACAACAAGTACTGGTGCCGGGGGGCCATCCGGGACTCCTGCCACAAGGTGGTGGAGACAGTGGGCAGGGAAGCACCCCGGCAGCGCGGCCGGGTCTCCATCCAGGACAGCCACATCTTCTGCGTGGTTCTGCTCACCGTGGAGGACCTCTCCGAGGCAGATGCTGGGAGTTACTGGTGCGGGGTCGAGAGGATGGGCAGGGACCTGATGGAGCCGGTGACAGTGAGGGTGGTCCCAGGTAAGCCCTGGTGTCTGTCTGGCTGGAGGTTTTGCTGGCCAGGACTCTTTTTGGAAAGGCCACTGGCTCGTGGGCCAGCAGTGGCCTGGGAGGAGGCAGCAATGCCGGAAAGAACCCCTGTGACCCAGTATAAACCAGCGGCAGAGGTTGGGAGGGGTGACAGGTTGCTTTCTCCTGGGGATGCTCACAGGTGCAGGCAGAGTGTGCTGGAGCCCAATGCAGGGTCCAGCCCCGGGCTGGTTTTGGGGCTCCTGGCACCCATCATGGTGCAGGCAGGATGGCGGAGCCACTGGTTACATGCAGCAGCGAGTGCTAACGCTGAGCCCCAGCGCTGAGGCCAGGGAGTGCCTGCCAAACCCGGCCTCTGACAGCCAAATGATATAATGTTGAGTTTCTAGACCAGGAAAAGGGGTAGATCCACCCCCCCCAGCCCTCAGGGAAACCTCTGGTTCACAGCGGGTGGAGAGATGTCTCGCCATGGGGAGACACAGCCCAGAGCGGTGAGAGGGGAGCTGGGCAGGCAGGTGCCGGCAGGGCGCATCCCACAGGGATGCCAGCAGGGCAGGGGCATGTGCTGGAGGGGACATGGGCAAGTATTCGCCTGCTGCCGGACGAGACATGGGGGACCCACAGTCACCTCCAGCCCCCAGTTCCCACCAGGACCTTCTTTTATGCAGCCTTATCAGCTACCCTGGCAGCTCCCCCGGCCACCCCCACCCCCTGGATCTCCACCACCGCAACAGAGCATCTCCCCACCAACAACGCCACTGCCGTGGGGTGAGCCTGGGGCCCTGGGGCACAGGGTGGGCATGGGGAAGGGCAGTGGCTCTCACCGCCGCGGGCAGCAGTGAGTATCCCTGTGCGAGGGGGCTTGTGGGAACAGGCAGGGTCTTCACCCGTCAGCCTGGGCATTTGGGGGTGATGCACTGGGGTCCCAGGCCATTGTCCCCCCTTTGCGTCCCACCCCGCGGCTGGCTGCGGAGGGGCTGCGGGAGGGCACTGGCACGCAGGGTGCTGCAAAAGCAAAGCCCCAGCCTTGTGAGGGAGAGAACCAGCCCCATACCTCTCCCCTTGCCTCCAGCCCCGGGGGACCAGCCCTGAGTGCCCTGGTGCCCAGTGCGGTCCTGCTCTCCCTCCTGGCTGCCGCCGGCTCTGCTGGGCTCCTCTGCATCCTGCGCAGGAGGAGGGAAGGTAATGGCGCCCACGCATGCCCCATCCCAGGCACACCTCAGTGCCCATCCCAGGACCTGGGGGACAAACCCACCCTGGGCACGGGGCTGCAGGGAACTCCCTGCTCCCAGCGACACAGAAAACCTCCCCCGGTGTCTCTTCTTTCTGGCACACTGTCCCCTTGCACCAAAGCCCCTGCCACCCCCTGCAAGCTGGGCACTGCTGCGGAGCCAGACCACAGCCCCATCTACGACAATGAGCTGGACCTGGCAGAGGTGAGAGCCCCTGGTGCAGGCAGTGCAGGCAGTGCAGGCAGTGTGGGCAGGGGCCATGCAGTGTGGTTGCCCACCCTGGGCAGCCCCTGCACCGCCCAGCTGTGCCCCAGGGCTGCAGGGACATGCTGTCCCCTTGCCAGGGTGGCTGCAGTGACATGGAGCAGGACCCCAAGCTGGAGAACGACGGTATCTACACAAACACCCTGCGTCAGGAGGAGGTGACGGGGATGCCCGGCTGATATTTTCCAGGAGGTTTCTTACTTGTCCTAGCGGAGCATCCCCCGTGGGCAGAGGGTCCCTGCGGGGCCACCCCCGGGGATGTCCTTGTTATCACCCCCAGAGACGTCCTTGCTGTGGCAGAAGAGGCGAAGGAGCGTTGCAGGAGGTGGCTGATGCTGTCCCATCACCGCGGCGTCTCGGCAGTGTGACAGCCTCTGCCCATGATGCTGGAGCCCAAGGCCACGCTGGCACTGTTCCCCAGCCCCCTGCCCCTGCATTGCTTTGGCAGATTGACCCACACATCTCGGCTGGCAAGAAACCACATCCCTGATTCCTGCACAGGCTGAGGAGTGGGATGTTTTCCCATCTCAGCAGCAAACAGATTGCTTTGGGTTCAGATAAATCCAATAAAGAAATTCCTCTGTGGGAGTTCAGTCTGGAGGGGAGAGGGGACAATCTGGTGTGCCCACAGAGCCGCTCTGCTGCTGTCATCCCCTTTGGGGGTCCCCGGGGCACCCTGGTACTGCTGGGGCTGCGTTAGGAGGGGGCAATGGGAACC